ATTTAAGACACATGGCCAATTATGTTGTCCAATACTCAGGATTTGGCCTCTGCATTTAACTCATAATAAAGCTTGTATACTAGTGGCTATAGAATATAATATGTAATACACTGAGCAATCCTCAGCAGAATAGAGATATTCGAGTATGTGTTACAGGACCAGAATATAAAATAATGGTAAGAATATTTTTGGTCTAGTTTATGCAGTCCTGACTAAGACATGGACATCCCCAACGGCAGAATAATCTTCAAAGAAGTTTAAGGAGGTCCTAGTTTCAAAGGTAGTGGCTGATTGGTCTTCTGGCTGTCACGTCTCTGCAGTCCAGCAGTACTATATCTGCAATGTCACATGACCTATATCGTCAGTGGAAGCATTTACAACTCCACTCCCATGGCCTCTTGGGATAGTAAAGTGTCCATCAGAAGCACACTTTGAAATCTTGGCAGAAATTGAAGGTGAAACTGTGCCACGGAGTCACTCAGATACAGACATAACATGCAGACATTTAAATTGAAGTAAGTTTACAGGTTAATAAGGCTAGACTGTAGTCAATACACACATTTAATTAATGAAAAAGCTTTTTATTTAATAATGAGTGATTTGAAGGTCAAATAAAAAAAAAATCATTCTTAAAATGTGCCCTCTGCACCAAATTCAATTCAAGCACACACATTAGAAAAAAAGAATGGGCACAAACCCAGAACAGTGGGCAGTCATTTGCTGCACCCCCGGGAAGCAATTGGGATAAGGTGCTTTGCTCAAGGACAACTCTGTTTTGGGTACTGAGGGTGGTAGAGAGGGCTGTTACTGTAGTTCACTACCCCCACATATGTACATCACCTGCTGGTTCAACTCACAGATCTACTCAAGGATCAACTGACCACTTACAGTATATATTATATCTCTTTTACCATTAAGCCACACTGCCTCCTATTATTAAAAAAAGTGTACCTTAAATTTGTTTGTTATAACTAGATTACAAAAATCTGTTCGTTTATAAGTAGAAATAACCAACCCCTAAACTCCTACATGTCACAGAGAACAACAATTACTATACAAATTAATTAGTTCATTTAAACTTTGCTAGTATGTTAAATCAGATAAAGAGAACTGTATGTACTGTATATGTAAGGACATATTGTACATAGGAGTCAGGTTAAAAATGGTCCTTGATATAAACAAGATTCCACAATTAGTTGATATAACTACAAAAATTGTACTTTCGCTATAATCAAACTATCCAATCTGCTATGTAGTGACATATTTCATGTGGCACTTCTAGGGACTTATAGTACTGCATAGTCCTAAAAGTAGTCAATTATTCTGAGTGTAAATTTTGTAAGACATGATATTGATAAAGCATTTACTTTATATGAAACTATCCTGATATTAAGTTGATTTACTTCACTGACAGAGACAGCAATATATAATGTACCTATTTGACATGGACAGCTATAGTAGCTTTTCATTCTGTGTTCCTTTTTAAAACTGGCAGATGATTCAGTGATGAGCTCCTCTGGGAATTCAGGCAAGCTGAGCAGAGAAAGCCATGGACAAGGAAACAGAGTGGCAAAAGACAGCGAGTAGAGGGGCAATGAAAAATTTAAGTAACGTTAGCAGACACATAAGCAGGCAAGCATGCAGTTGAGATGGTTGAAAGTGGGGCTGACAGAGAAGGGAGGAGGGAAACAGAAAAATAGGAGCTCAACATTGGGGGTGGGCTGTGCTGCTAGGGAAAAAAGGACTACACTTGAATGAGGGGAAAAAAGAAAAGAGAGAGAGGGAGAGAGGAATGAGGAGGAAGGAAACAGCGGATAAAATAAGAGCATGAAGGAAAAGGGGCTGGCTAGAACATTCTCATTGTCCTTGCTGCATCATGGATCTCTTGAAGTAAATCGAAGATGAATGTTAAACATACACTTGTAATTTTGCATATTTTAAATCTAATGCATTCCTCACCAGAATGTATTCTATATTTATGGGATTGACATTAGCACTGGACCATAACCTTGGCCAACATTCATTGTCGATATGCAAATAAAATGAATAACCAACATTAATGAAAAAATACTCACTTGCTATAGAGGGATTCAAAGAACTTTCAGGAAAACAACACACACTATACTTCCTTAGAGCATGATTAGATTATAGAACATACACTGCATATATTCAGGCAATAAGTTATAAAAGCCCATGCAATTTTTTAAATATACTGTCACATCAGGAGAGAGGTAAAAACGTCTCAAAAGTAAAGGTACCAGATCTATCAAACAGAAATCAAAGCAACTATGGCAGTCTGCTGGTCAAGCCTTCTTAGGAGATGAAGAGCTAAAGGAAGACCCCTCTGGCGGATCAGCAACAGAACAGAAACTTGACAGCCTGGTGCAGTGAGGCAAGAGCTGGCACGAAATCAGAGACACAGCAAAACAAGATGGTTGGCAGAGAGGGTGAGAACGACCAGTAGCCGCAGCACTGGTCAGAGGACACAAGAAAGGAGGAGAGTAAGAAATGTAGAAGGAAATGACAAGCTTAAATGCACCCTGGAGCTTATCAGAAGAGGTACTAGCAAAAGTGCAAATTAAACTTGATAAGAATGGAACCAAAGAGAGGAGAAGGAGTGGGAAGGGAGTGAAAACGAGAGGAGGGTGAATGTTTGCAAGAGACATGGAATAAACTCGTCAACAAAGCTTGGTGGCCCAAGCCATACCTTCTGCCTACAAACATATTTAGAAGCCTTAGGGTGTACTCACACTATGTACAGTTGCCTTGAACTGGGACGAAGCACGCTTGTCCCCCTCCCGTCTCCCACGATGGCCAGCAATCACATTGCATTCACGCCTGAGCACGCTTATGTCATCGATGATGCACTCAGCATAGTGGAGATTTCTTTAGTTATATCGTTTAAGGAGTATGGGATGCAGTGACACACAGTTTAATATTTCGCCGAACAGATCAGCCACTTTTGACGCTCATAAACACTCCTAAAGTCATCATGCTGCAGGAATGAGGAGGTTTGCTAAAGGTGCAGCTGTCGTGCAGTGAGGGGTTTGCGCCTTTAATAAACTATGACAGTTTGCGTTCAATGAACAGTATGAATGATTACTAAACCCATATGATTGGTTTAGTAATCTCAGTCACATCTCAGGCGCGCTGAGCCCAAGTGAACTGTGCTCTGGCACACCTCTTCCAACCGGGCCAGGGCCAGCCAACTGAACCGTGCCTGAGTCTGATTCAGAGCACTCACACTTCTCAACAATCCGGGAAACAGGCCTGGACACAGTTCAAGGCAACTGTACATAGTGTGAGTACAGCCTAAGGCTCCTAAATATGTTTGTAGGCGGAAGGTATGGCTTGGGCTACCGAGCTATGTTTGACGAGTTTATTCCGTGTCTCTTGTGTCAAACCTATCATTTACTCGCCCCTTCTTTTCACATCCTTCCCGTTCATTGGAGTACAATGGTATAGCATTAATAAAATTATTCTGGGCACAGACAGGATAAGATATCACAAACCAATGGATGGATTCAAAGTGGCCACCAGAAGGATTAGTATGAGCTATTGATTTGGAAGAGTGACCCTATCAGTAAATGCAGGGTCTTAATACAGGTCCCACTCAGGCCTCCTTCTTCTCAGCAATCTGCATCGTTCATTCCTTGCCTTGGGAGTTCCAGACCTGCCTGTTCATGGTCTTAAACGGTCTTGACACTTCATATACAGCCAGTCTTCCAGTCCAATCCTTGTACCCATGCAAGCTCACCAGTTCACTTTCAGCCCATGTCATCATCTGGCGAGTGTTTGCTCAGCACCTTCTTCCATTGTAGTTATTTAAACGTAGTTCAAGAAAAAAATGAAAATATATTATTACCTATTCTCCTCCCTAGCAACACATGTATAGATCTGCTAGTAGGGTTAACGTTCTTTAAAGAGCAGCAGCTTCTTGACTAAGCTGAACTAAATATTTTATTCTTTATGAACTAAACATTTTATTCTTTGCAACACTGTAAATAAACAAAATATTTGATTTGATCCATTTCTTATGTGTTCCTCCAAAGGTAACCATGACATTTTTTAGGATACAGTATAGCATATCTATTGACTTATATTGATGCTAACAATTATTTTCTCATTCTGTCTACATGAATTATAGAGTGAGAGGGTAGCTGTCATTTTATTTTTGTTCCATCCCACTCGTGTATAATTTAATCTGCCGGTTGCTGTTTGCACAACAGTTTTCTAAATCCAGAAATCTCTCAAAGCCTAGAAGACATCCATAGTTTCTGGAAAATGGATGGACACCCTTCGCCAATTCTTCAATCTAATTATCAATCCCCATCCACCACATTTAACTGTGGGCAACAATCTTTATTTGTACAGTGCCAAAATGTTCTTGAGGCAGTGTGTCCAACATCTTAATGAGCAGTTTTGAGGGAATGATGACTCACAATAAATGCAGCTTTTTATAAGCACAGAGAAGAGTCTTATTTTGGAGTACAACCTAAATTCCTTTATTATCATTTACCATTTATTATCCCTGAGTGTACAGTAAATCAACTTGTTAGAATTTCCAATATCAGTTAAATGGTTACCACTACAACTGTGAACCTGAGCTTATGGTTCTAATGTGTAAGCAAAAAGACTTGTTTTAGTGAATGCCCAATGACTGTCCAACCTTCTCTGTAGTCACAGCCAAGGTCATGTATGCCAGGCTTTGCAGTCCTGTGTGTAATGGTCTTGTCAATGTGTGACAAAAGCCATTAAGATTTAGGGAGATAGTACAACTGAAATTGCTGAGGATCACAGTTTTCATTACCTTGACCAAATGGTTTTGCGGCAAAGAGACTTATACATGTGTAATGTGAACAGTAGGCTAATGGTGGCTATTCTAACAATAATGTACTAAAACAAAACATGATATACCATCACTTAACATTTTAATTGAAGAATTTTGTTCAGCTCACTTAATGCATTTAAAAACATGTTCTTTTTTTCTGCTTTTCTAGCCAGAAGACTTTGAAGCTGTTCATTCCCACACCTTTAAGGCAAAGTCCTTTAAAAAAGCAAAGAGTTGTGCAGTGTGCAAGCAGGCTCTGACGAAGGAGGGCCTGGTCTGCAAAGGTCAGTAATGCTATACCTTTTTACATTCATTAATATGTTGGTGATGTACTTGGCTTCAGTACCACAATTATGTTGGATAGACCATCAAATATTCAGTTTATCGTCTTTGCTTATTTGAGTGATATTAAGGTTAAAATATTTTAATAAAATGTGGAAAAAGTGCTCATTTAAAAATAATGTATACTTATTAGCCAAACAAATATAAGAAGCATATTTTGGAAAAAGCATGGCTGTTATAATTTACCTGGTTTTTCCCTAACTAGGAACTCGTAGCAAAAAAAAAAGGCTTTTCTGAATAATTGATATTCAAGATTAATGTAGGGTAGATTGCTTGACTAAGACACCACAGATCTAATTAACCAGTTAATCCTTTGTTACATTCATTATCACACTGTCCTTGCCAGTTTCCCCTTTTCAACTAACTGACGAACTATGTTTTGCTGTAAAGTTTATTTGTCTCTGTGTATTACTAGAATGTGTCAATTAGACATACACAATAGTATCATGTACTGTTTGCAAGTGTATTATGTGAAAGTAATTTTTCTTCATTTTGATGTTTAATTGGTTATTGTTTGTTTCTTTGTTTCTTATCAAATAACTAATAACAAACCTCTAAAAAAGGACCAGATGCAGTTAGTAAAAAAAAAAAATGCTGTATATTATGTGTAGGACATAAGTCTTCAAACATGCAGGAGAGCATGTATAACTCTACAGACATTAAGTGCTTAAAATGTATTGTTCACCTAACAATTAAACTTTACTCACCATGAGTTTCCAAACATTTGACTATATTTCTTTTGTTAAATACAAAATAAAATATTCTAAAGAACGTTGGAAACTGGTAGCCATGGTAGGAAAAATATATAATAAGTTGAATGACTTACAGTTTCCAGTATTTTCAAAAAATAAATAAATATATATATATATATATAATTTTTTTCCTGTGTGTTTAAAACAACAAAGTAGCTCAGATAAAATTGTAAAGTACATTTTGACATAATTCTAAATTTCTGAGTGAACTATGCCTTTAAAATGAACATAGGACAGGACTTTGAGAACATCAAAACATAAAGCATTTATGTACAACGTGAATGTAATTATTGAAACACTAGAGTCCGTTTCATACTGCACACATGGCACAATGTGGTGCCAGACACCTTGTTTTAAATAGCAAATGCATTTGTATCCATTTGTGCTCTCATTGGGAATGCTGGTCTGAAAAAGAGGTGTGTTAAGTTGCATTGTTGGTATGTTGCTATTTTGAGGCAACTGAAATTGAACACAGCACTGACCAACTAAAAGCTGGTCTAGTCAAGGTTTTTTTTTTTTTTTTTTTTTTTTTTTGAGATGTGTCCACCTGTAGATTTTAGAGACGTATACATCACCATATCATAGGAATAGAAAGTGTGTTTGGATATACATTTTTTGATGACGCTATTGTTCACTTATTTGCTTGTTGGAAATTATTACTGAATTTTGCAATAGTTTAGAAACAAACCTTTGCACTTAATTATTAAGAAATTATTTATGTAATGGATGTCTTCAATGGAGTGCATCCACAACCATTTCCCAAATACATGGTTGAATGGAAGAGGCTCGTTCTGTAAATGGTCTTTAACTGGCTTGCGCAGATGGTCTTTAGCTATTTTCTCACTTGTGAATCATTCGGTTTTTCTCCTTACAAAGTCCGCCATGTAAATAGCGAGTGCGCCATGGCAACTGACACTTAAAGGGGAAGAGAGATGAGACTGTGACTGGTTTCATGCATGTTATGTTGAAATATTTATAACTCATTAAGAGAATATGCACTTTTTAGACCATGTTCTCGTCCTTACAATAATAATAGTGGATTAGAACATGACCTTTATACTTTTGTGTCATCCGCTTTAGATTTTGAGCTTAGATTATTAAAATAGAGCCCTAGACAATGAATTAGCTTTTTTTGTCATATTTACACACAATTCCCACAAAAACATTTTGCCTAATTCACAACACGTGTATACACAAGCTTGTTGTTAAACTCATTTTTCTGTTTTTTCTCGGAATTTAAAGTCTAAATTTTGTTAGTGAATTTTGGAGTCTTAATGAATGCCAGCACGCAAATACATAGTATTATGCACACTTGAAACAATACACATCCAAACTAGCTCCATATAAAGGCTTTTCACAAAGTGGTACTCATCCAGAAAAAGACAATTATGGAACTAAAACAAAAAACTACGAAAAATTAACTTTAACACTAATAAATGCAAGGCATGCTGTCTGAGGTGAAAGTCTAAAGCATCATTAAGATTACAATACATTTAGATTGCATGGATTAATTTATTCATTTTCTTTTCGGCTTAGTCCCTTTATTAATCTGGGGTCGCCACAGTAGAATGAACCGCCAAACACACATTCACAAACTCATGCACTACAGACAATTTTTTTCATTCATTTTATTGTCGGCTTAATCCCTCTATTAATCTGGGATCGTCACAGTGAAATGAACCGCCAACTTATCCAGCACATGTTTTTGGCAGCGGATGCCCTTCCAGCTGCAACCCATCTTTGGGAAACATCCATACACACTCATTCACACTCATACACTACAGACAATTTAGCCTACCTAATTCACCTGTACCGCATGTCTTTGGACTGTGGGGGAAACCGGAGCACCCGGAGGAAACCCACGCTAATGTGGGGAGAACATGCAAACTCCATACAGAAATGCCAACTGACCCAGCCGAGGCTAGAACCAGCAACCTTCTTGCTGTGGGGCGACAGCATTACCTAATGTGCCACTGCATCGCCATTTAGAATACATTTTAGTTCATATTTTATATGAATCTTGATTTATCTGTGAAAATGTCTGCATGCACATTACACACAAACATTTTTTTCAAACGCATGTTAAGTTATGAAGACCTTTTGTTTTTATTAATTTTAAAGGAACAATCAATTTTTAATAACTTCTCAACAAATAAAAAAAATGGTTGGGGGATGGGGGGTGCTGCACTTTTAGCATAACTTAGCTTAATGACCAAAGAGTTTCAATAATTTGCCTATTAAAGTTTTACTCTTCTGTAGTTACATCATGTACTAAAGCCAAAAGAAATGTAAAGTTGCTATTTTCTAGGGCAGGGGTGCTCAACCCTGTTCCTGGAGATAGACCTTCCTAACAGCTCTCTAGAGTTCTCAACAGCTCAAAGCCTGATCAAACACACCTGAATCAATTAATTAGGACCTGAACAGCAGGTGATAATTACAGGCAGGTGTGTTTAATATGTGTTGCAGCTAAAATCTGCAGGAAGGTCGATCTCCAGGAACAGGGTTGGTCACCCCTGTTCTAGGGCAAAATGGCTAGAAGCTCATTCTGGTTTAGTGATCAAGGAATTTTGCTACTGTAATGATAACGCAACTATATTATGCAGAGCCTTAAATTTTACAAATTTCTATCAGTATAACCAATGTGATATACCTTGTGAGAAATCATGAGCACAACAGATACAGTTTGATTCACCAACAGCCAAACTATCTCTTTTTCATTCTGAATGAGTTATCAGTTATTAATATTCGACTTATAAACAATCCATTTTTAAAATGCATAATTCATACCTGTCAACATTGTGATGTAAACATACAGGATCCTAAATTATAAAATCTTGTTCACATTTATTCAATGTATTTATATATTTATTAAAGTTACTATAGTTATTTAACTAAGATCAGTGAATCGCTCATTTTGATCCATTGTTTTGTTTGCTAACAGAGGTGTCACTTCAAAGGGGAAATGAAGCACTCAGTCAAGTGTACCTTATTTTGTACATTGGATTCCACTATAATGAAAATATATTAAACAAACTCGATTAATGTCACAATTTAAAAGAAAACGGCATGTTTAATGGTAGATTTTAGACTTAGGGCTCCCCCATCTTGTAATGTTGCTGTGTCTGACGTCACGGGGTTGGTTCCGTTTGCTTAGGAGAACCGAAACAATGTAAGTAAAGGAGAATGTAAAGCCTAATTTAACCCAATGCGTGAAGTTGTGAACGTAGAGTTGCTGCATATACAAGCATCAGATGTGTGTCTAATAAAAAATATACAAATATATTTTTTCTATTTTTCTTTTTTCCCCTTTTAATTACCGATCATTTGATGCACTTTGAATAACTCTCTGTATCACACTGCCTGACTGCCTGTCTGTGATTGTAATGGACTGAACACAGAGACTGGACAGCCTAATTCAACCTAATGCATGAAGTTATGGACGTGCATCACAGAGCTGGTGCAAATACAACAAAGACAGGCATTAAGTGTCTTCAGTTTTGTATTTTTCTTATTTTAATACCTTTTGTTTGATGCACTGTGGTAAACTCTCTCACGCTGCTCCAGCGCTGCCTGACTAAGGCATTTACATTCAGACTAATGCAACAACTAATATCCTACATGACTTCATGCTTTATTAAGTCACGTCTGTGTGAATTATGTCAAGACATATTCTCTCATCAAGTCAATCAACTCGATCTCTCAACATGTATGAAGGATAAAAACCTGTCATAAGAAACACCGCGCTGATCTTAGTTTGGTTTGAACACGAGCAGAGGTGAGGGAGGGTAGCAGTAAAAAGTGAAAGTACCCTAGAGTGCTTTCTTTGAGCAGGTCAAATTAAGGGTACAGTTCATATATCTTACTGCTGTATTAAAGAACAAAAATGTACTACAATAGTATAGAAATATTAATATATTTATATATTTTAATAGAAAAAATTCTTGTTTTGTGAAGAAAAAATCAAATTATGTATGGAAAGCATCGTCAATGCAACGTGATGCACCGAGATATTGAATTGAACTGAATCTTTGGCATGATAATCGTAACTGAACCAAACCATGAGACTAGTGTAGATTCACATCTCTACTCGTTACCATTATAGACCTTTTTCATGGCTGCTGCATGGAGGGCACCATAGTGACCAGCGTTTTCCGGAAGAATGTTTAGAACTTCCGTTAACAGCACTTATA